CGTTAGTGGCAATCATTAATTTGTCTTATTGCATATTTTTTATACTTCTTATACCGTTTTTTCGGAGAAAATACTTTCTTTAGATTTAATATTCGTACTTGTTTAATTTTGTTGTTTTTTTTTATTTCATTAAAATATTATATTCTTAAACGAAATATCATTTTTTAAAATGATGAAAATAAAACTTTTATTTCGTTCAAGGAAACCATGTCATTTGATGAAACAACACTATTGTTTTAAATAATATTTTTTAAAAGTTTCTCTCAAAATTTAGTAATTCGATTTGTTTAATTTGGATTTTCTTGGATTTTTTAATTTTTTTTTGTTGGATTAATCATTATAACATTTTGTTAGAAATGTAAAAGTAATTATCACTGGTTCACTACATTATATCAATATTCATCGCATATCGAATGCATTGTTTCAATATCTACCAACAAATTATCCAATAAACAACAAGTAAATATTATATAACTATTATTTGGTGTTTGCTAGGTATGTTATAATATACTGTGAACAATATAAAGATACATTATATAAGCATGAATTGTAAGAACATCGTTGGAGTCATCAGAGTCACCGCGTACGCGCTCGATCGTCAGGTTAAGCAACAGTTTAATGAATGGGGGGTATACCAGTAGTATACCGCTTGGGATCGAAATTATCGCAGGAGGATTCATGAAAGTTTGGAATGTGTTGACAACCTTCGATATCTAGTAGTTTATGAGACATGAGAAAATTAGGAATATAAGTATATTTTTGTAAACATTATGATTTTCTCATTTTTCACTTTTGCATAATAATTCTCAGTATTTGATTACTATCAATATTTAACAGTGATTTTATTATCAGTATTTACCAGAAATTAAGTACTGGCCAAAAAATTACTGAATTACTGGTAATATTTAATCACTAATAATTTTTCAGTACTTCTTAGTATGATATTTCTATAAGGGTGATATAACTATCTTGCGTCTACTAGAATTTTACAGTCAACTAGTATTCGTATTCTTAGTTTTTAAATTTGCGAACGAGTATATCGTTTATAAAAAATGTATCAAAGTATATTTTAGTAAACTAGAATCGTGCTTCGATTGATGCTTCGAATGGACGTTAAAACTCCGATTGAAAGAGAAGGTGCTTTATTCAAAATTTCTATATTCTTGCAGATATTACAAATTTATAAACGCAATACGCTCGAAACATACGTTCAACTCCAATAAAGCTAAGAATGGTAATTGTGGAGGAATTTATCAAAGGGACATGGTTTTAACACAAGTCTGTGCAATAGGATACATTTTTGTCATGCCTGAGGTTTTCGGTTTACGCATTAAACCAGAAGAAGAAAAGGCAATGCTTCATTTCTGGCGTGTAATGGGACATATGCTAGAAATTCCCGATCGGTAATACGCACATGTTAACAGAAAGAGGATAAGAGGAGAGAGAGAGAGAGAGAGAGAGAGAGAGAGAAAGAGAGAAATTTTACTTCAGAGAATTCTATGTCTGTACAAAGGAAAATATCAGCCTACTGTTAAGCAAAATGATTATTCAATTTAATCACTTTCTTTTATATTATATAGTCAACAAAGAATATTTTCTTAATAATACCCTTATAGAAATATCATACTAAAAATCATTGATAATTACTTATTTTCAGTATTAAAAATACTAGATAATAAGTAATTATCAATAATTCTTAGTATGATATTTCTATAAGGGTAGTCTTAAAATACCTACAAATATATCTACAAATTGCAAATTATAAATTTAAAGAAACTCATTATCATATTACTTAAAAGAAGAATTTATCCTCTATGTAAGAATATTATAAAACTTGATCAAAGAAAAAATTAGTTCGATTCTACGTGGTAAGCACCCTGAATTTTGATTTTAATTTTAATATCTTTGATTGAAATGTTGAACTTAGTAAGATATATAATTTATTTTGAAGAAATTTAATGCCCATGATGATCTTATGATAAATTTGCGGTTATAAACTTATGAAATACTTAAAGAAAGTAATATTCATTTAAATGTAGTATGTATTTTTTATGTAGATAAAACAGGAAATCATGATGACGTTAAAGAATAACGAGAAAATATCTATAAAACTTAGTACTCGATTCGACCATGATTCGATCATATTCTTATCATGTTGACATTATTGTTTTCTGTTCTGCCTAATTGTGATCTTTCACGACAATAAATATAATGCATACAATAATTTTGTTCTTCTTTCACTAACTTTATATATGTTATTTGTTATTCACAGAATAAATGTATGTCGCAAAAACGTTGCGGAGACACGAGAATTGTTAGTGATGTTAATAGACAAATTTTCCGAATATTTAAACAACCCGCAACCTGAGTACAACGAATTAACAAACGCCTTGCTAGATGGATTGTGGTACGGCAATATAGGTATAAATAAGGAAGCTTTCCTGACGTTTACATATCAGCTCAGTAATGTCAAACGTGAGTATTCTATTTTTACTTAGATTACACTTTCAATTTTATCTTTTCTTGCCCCACAAGTGTGAAGAATCATTTTCGACGCATTTTTACCGTCAAACACGCATCTATTACTAAGATTTTTAACCAAGATTTTAACTATTTTTCTAATGACTACTTAGATATTTAGTTATTAATTAAAGAAGATTAGTACATTACTGTATACAACTGTAATACTTCTTTGTGACAAACGTTGCCATCATAACTGATTTACCGTATAATGGCGTATAATCATTCACGAATCTTTGATTAATAACTCAAAATTTTACATGGTTTTTCGCCAAAAAAGATAAAGGAATTTTTTATACAGTTTGATCTCATCTACTCATATAAAGAATAAATATTTTCCAAAATATTTTACGTTTTATTTTTATATTTTTAAACACAATACATGAAATATTTCGTAAACTATTAACGTTTCAACAATGTCGCTTTAATAATTTTAATTTGTCTTTAATTTTCATGATCTTCAGTTGTATTAATTAAAATTTGTGTAGTTAATTTGTATAGTTCTCGCTTTATTTCGAATTATTCTTTCGCCTAACGAAAGATTATATACAGAGTGTCCCGCGTAAGACGTACGAAAAGAAAAATATAAGTAGAACACATAAAAGTGAACAAAAATTGTATAGGTCATTTTTCAAATAACCACGTAAAATTTCGAGATATTAATTAAAATAGTTGGGCATATCAGAGCGCGGCATACCGCTCTCCGCGGCCGGTAAAAAAAATGAAAGAACGCACACGTACACGTATGCACACACGGAGCTACTCATTTTAGTATGCCAAACGGTCCACCTCTTTGGCCTATATGATAGGCCGGCGAGCAATCGTCCTTTTTTTCGCCGGCCGCGGCAAGCCGTATGTCTCGCTTGCCGTGTCGCCGCACTTTGATATGTCTAACTATTTTAATTAATATCTCGAAATTTTACGTGGTTGTTGGAAAAATGACCTATACAATTTTTATTTACTTTTATGTGTTCTACTTATATTTTTCTTTTCGTACGTCTTACGCGGGACACCCTGTATATTCTCTATATACTCTACATTCTTTCTTTGTAGTTTCTATACTCTACTCTCTATACTTCACAAAGTGTCTACATTAATTAAAAACTAATTTTCCTACTCTATGTATTGAAAGAAAGATTTTATAATGTAAATGAAAATTCGATAATTATCATTTAATTTAATAGTGTAAGTCAAATACTATAACAATTAGGAAATAATTTTATTGTATACATTGTGAGTGTATACTCTTAACTAATTTTATAAAATTGAATTAAATTATTCCTTGATACTTACTAAATATCTGATCACAGTCATCAAATACATAGAAATAGATCTTAAATGTTTCATAATTGTTGTTAAATGCTTTAGATCATTTAATTGTGAATAAAAATTCTTTATACTTCAAGTTCATTAAATATGTGATAATTATTAATATAAATTATTATAATAAAATATAATATTATAATAATATAATTATAATAAATTATATTATTAATAAAATAATTATAACAAATAATTATAAATAATTATTATAAAATAATTATAATTATTAATAAAATAATTATAATAAAAATTATAATATATAAATTATAATAAAACATATAATATTATAATAATATAATTATTGTAAAAAATATATTAATTCACGTTTCAGATAAGATATCGCTGCGGTGGTATAATTGGATAATTCTGAAATGTTATAAACTCATATTCCGGCTGTTCCGTAAGTATTATCCATATTCGCATGATATTAAATTGTTGTGTTAACAAAGTATATATTTGCTTATTGAGTATAGATTTGCTTATTTTGTTTTAGTTGTGCCATACATCGGACCGGTAATGAAGATTATTTTCAATAAGATAATTCTTATCACTCTCTACCTCGCACAGAACTTACCCTTTATCGCATGGATGTCATTCGGAAGGAAAAAGTCTCAATTAATATAGTATCCTAAATACAGCCAATAAGATTAAAATGTCATCAATGACAGCCAGCAACAGACAATTTGACAACAGATTTGTTCGAAATATTGTGATACGTACACAACGAAATGTATGCACAATTTATGCAGTGAAATTTATATTCCCCCGCCAATTAGCCATCGTATTTCGTTAGCGAATCCTATTATATTTTCGTTGACATGTTGTACTGGTCAAATTTGTAAACGAATATTCTATGAAATTCCTTTTGATAAATCGATTATTCAAAGGAATAACACGATTTTTCAATTCTGTGCGAAAAGACCGTTTACAAAGTAATATGAGCACATTTCATTGTCCATAAAACCTCATAATTGTTGAGTCATGACCTATAAAGTTTATATCTTACATCGCTACTATTTAATTATTCGAGCTAATAATAAACCAATAATGTCATTTCTTCTTGTAGCTAGTTAGTTATAAGAATAATATACTATAAATAAGTTAGTTAATAGCTAGGCAAGAAATATTACACAATGATGAGATGAAGAAATTTAAATACTTGTGAACTAGACTTTTTATATATGTGGACGTAGTATGTTCGTTCTGGCATGCTTCAAGTGGTACAGTTAATAACTGAACGGTTTCCATAATCATTTGAAACTTTTGGTTACAACTGACAGAATACTTTTATTACTGAATACTTCATGAAGCGAATGTTATCAAATAATAATTTTTTATGTTTTTTGTTAAAGAAAAATATAATAATGTCATAATTTAATATCAATTATGATGCAATTTGATTTGTACAATTATGTATAAGACCAGGATTTGTAAGATGAAAAATTTTCTATTTTTTCTATCGATGTTTTGGTATTGTGATCGAGGAAATATCCCGAGAGCAAAGATCCGTTACGGGTAATTCTAGCGTCGACGATAACAATTACCTTTTAAGATAAAGATAAAAAGGCTCCTAGTTCTTGCGCTCTGCAAAAAAACTATGATAAATCCGTACAAAAAATTACATTAAAAAATAATTTGTACACACACAACAAAATATAATTTTCTAATACAAAATTAATTATATTATCAAAACATTTGTGCTAAGTGACTATAACTAATTATAACATCATTTTTCTAATTACTTTATTAGTTATTAGAATCCATGTTTGTAACACGAAAATTTGTAAACTCTCAATGAGAGTTTGTAAAAGTTAATTAAATGCTTATTTTCTTTCTTAGAAATATATACTTTATTTATCTACTTCCCGACACGAAGGGGCGAGTGAGAGCAACATTTTGGGGACTCGCTCGGGATCAGAACAGTTGAGATCGCAAACATGGACATGAGCGGTCGAATCAGGAAAAAAACGCGAGTGTAGTAACGAAGCGAAGAATGTCGATGGTGCATATTCCAAAAAGGATGCAAGAACAAACTCCGGCTATGTTAGAACAGTCTTACTCTCGAGCGGCGGATGCCGAGTCGTAGCTGCAAGCGGCCCAAGAAGGAGAGATCGAAATGCTACAGGTAGGAGAAACTGCGGATACTGCAGCAGGAGTGGCGGGCGCAGTTGTACGGCCGAGGCGAGCCAAGAAAGCAACGACATGCTTATGCAGGCCAGTGTCTTTCCATTCTTGAATTTTAATTGGATATTTTCGACAAAAATGAGCTATAGGCCGGACGGGAGCGATACGCACAATTATGGGAAAAAAATTTCACGCAATAAGAAGTTAAGCGTTATAGTTTATTGAATCCGGTTATCGTCATAGGGACACAGAGTTTATGCGGGTAGATTAACTTCTTTTCAGATTGGAAAATAGAGAGAATTATCTGACAAGGGAAGTTGCGGAACTGTCCCCCCCCCCCCCCCCC